TTGGAGGACATGTAGCACTCACATTGTCACATCTATGAATAGGCTGCTTAGGCATGGAAAAGTGCAATTCTTGTAGCAAGTTGCTGATCCAACTAGTAGCGATCATGGAGGCCACAAAACAATATCAACTTTAGCCCTAGAGGGAAACAATGGGTTGTTTCTTGGAGCTCGATTGACCAAAAACTTCAGTGTCCAATTGTTTCTGACGTGTGTTCAGACACCAGGAACAGTCAGTGTCAGAAAATCCAGTGAGTTGCTGTAAGGTATCCAAGTCTAGCCGCAAGCCATAGTTTGCAGTACTGCAGATGTCTAAAAAAATGCACTTCACAGCCTTGCGATGATTATCCCAGGGATCAAGAATGAGTTGGCAAGTCTGGTTTACTGAAAAACAGATGTCTGGCGGTGCAGAAGGTCATGGAGATGGTAGTTACTTGGCAGCTGCCAGTACCTAGTAGCTTTCTAGGAAGACCAGAAAGCTCTTGAAATATCATTAGTAATGAAGTGATTACAACACATTGTTTACAGGTATTTATAGGCTCCTAGAACTAACAACAACCCAATCTTAATTAAAAAGGTAGCAAGAATGCTGTTGTAAGCTACTGCTAGTACTGAAAGGCAAAAAAAAAGATACCCAGCACTAAATAAGGAAGACAAAACAGAATTAGTCAAGGAAAACCTAGGATTATTTACTCCTACTAAATCTAGGAAAATCTATGTATACCGTCCAAGTTTTGGTTTCCTAAAGCATTAAGGAAATGTGAATTTAATGCCGTCCAGAATCCTGCAGGTCCTTTCTTGCAAGTGTCTCCTGCACGTGAATTGAACTCATCCTCAAGTTTGTTTCAGCGTATACCAGTTCTCCAGGTGAACTGTATTGATACAAGTTTAACAGATTGGAAGTCTTAAAAATAGGCACGTCACTAGGAAAGTTAATAACATGGGCTTCCTAATTACTTTTCTAAGATATGGTATAGACCATACTTCTGCTGATTGTAGGTTCCGGCCGGGAAGGGATCTTTTGAAAAGAAAACCATGACCGTATCCCCTTCTTGAAACTCCTTGCTTTCTATGTTTATAAACTGTTGCCTTTTAGTTAGCAGCTGATATCTTCAAATAGTTGTTTTATGTGGGCCTGAATTGATTGAACTCATTCAGCATTAGATCCAGAGATTTTAGACAACTTCAATAGTTCAAAAGCATGTCTTTGGAGTCCTTATAAATCATGGAGAAGGGTGACTTGCAAATGGATTTATGGATTGCAATGTTGGAAGCAAATTCTGCTTGTGCAATCACACTATCTAATTGTTTTGGGTTTTCTCCACAAATACAACAAACTGGATTCTCTAAAGGGCAATTACCACTTCAATTTGATAATCCACTTGTGAAGAAGTTTTATCCGACCATATTTCAAGCTTGTGTCAGACCTTTTCCCCAAAGTAAGCCAAAAGTGAGCTTTGAATTTAGGATCCCGATATGAAGTCATCAATTTTGAAACACCATGTAATGAATAATCTCTTGAAAAAACAACTTTGCTATATGAGCTGCATTAGATGTTTTCTGAATGGGGATCAAATGTTCCATTTTGGAAAATCAATGAACAACTATAAATAGAGAGATTGAATGTATCCCTCTTTGTATTTTAGGAAGTTACAAAATCCATAGTAAAGTTTTCCAAAATAATTTTAGGTACAGGTAAAAGCACATAGAATTCTATACTTTGCGCTTGCCCCTTTGCTACTTGACAAATAGGACACTTCCTAACAAATTTTCTTGCATCTCTCTTCAATGGAGGCCAAAAAATCTTCTAGCCCAGCATGAGTCTTGTTTTAACCAAGATGACCACAAAGTCTACCACCATGCATGTCTCGAATAACCTTTTCTTGCAAGAGGTTCTTAATTACACATAAATAGGTACCCCTGGATAAATACCCATCATAAAATGAAAGTCTTTCCTGGTTTCCTTCAGTGGAAGTTTGTTCCAAATTTCTCCGAAGTCTTCATCTTCCTCATACAATTCCCTAACCTCTCAAATCAAACCACCTTATTGCTCATGGTGGTTAACAGAGCTCTTTGATTCAGAGCATCTGTGACTCATTTGCACCGCATTTGTGCTTAATTTAAGCAAACTGCTCCAAGAAGGACACTGCCTTGAATGCATTTTATTAACATGCTTTTGGTTCTTAAGTACTTCAAATAGTCATGGCCAAAATCAATCACAAACTCGGGAATTATGCAGTGCTCCAAATTTCAAGGCATCAAATTACAAGATAAAAAGTCTTGTTCATAGATCAACCATTTTTGCCAAGTTTCATTAAACTATTCATTACAAAAGATTTCAATATGCCTTCTTGAGAAACAGCTCCTCAAATACCAACTCCATATCAATCATACTCAAAATTAGTGATAAGTCTTTTCTTGATATCAAGAAAGCTCCTAGCAGCACCCTCTGTCCATCCAAATTTCCCTTCAAACAATTTTTTATTGGTGTAACAAGACTGCTGAAATTTCTAATAGATCTCCTGTAAAAGATAGCCAATCCATGAAAGCTACATAACTCCAAAACATAAGCTTACATCCCATTTGAGTAACAAAGAAGATAAAAAGATGCCTTACTTTCTTGAGGGCCAAGTGTCCTGGGCCCCCTTTTATTTTCTTATTGGCGGCTTCTGTCCTACCCCCGAATTCTGATTGCGGGATCTGAAGTCTGGACCCTTTTATCTTTACAGCTGTAATTCTTTTTGAGTCTCAGTCATGGCCCAATTACCCATATTAATGCTCCATCCGATACTTTTGGGAAAAGCATAAATTCCCTAAGGTAAGAGTTTTCATTTGGACTCTTGTTCCGAACAAGATTACCACTAACTTAAGTTTGGTTCAACTTATTCCATTCCCGTTCAATTCCTAAATCTTAATTATTTGATATGTAGAAGTTGGTTGTAAATTATAAATTTGATGCTAATTAAATCAACCTCACTCCTTTTAATCCCACAACCAAAAATTTTGTGTTCCTATATGTCAATATAAGAATTACAAAAACATATAGCTTCAAGTGTTCGTAAAATTGATTTGAAATATTAATTTTTTTGTCTAAATTTCTACTTATAATATATTTTCATTTTGATTCCATAGAACTGAAATTTCATCGAAACTCAATGTAATATTATTCTCCAAATTTGGAGATCTCATAAAGTTAGCTCAATCTCTTGTCATTTATTTGATGTGTTTCTACAATTCTCAGAGTAATATGTTTATTCACTGCCCTCAGGTGTGAAAGTGATTTTTAGGCAATTTGTTTATTTGTGGAAGTTTGGCTCAGTACATACAATTTGGATACTTTGTTTTTTCTTATCTACATGGTGTGGGAAGGGCTAAGGACCATAAAATTTTATGGAAAAGGGCCATGTTTGCTGGTTGATGGATCATTTGGCTGGAACGAAATAATAAAATTTTTAAGCATCAACTCCTTTGCTTTCCTTTGAGCAAAGGCTCATGATTTCTTTGGAGATTGCGTTTCTCTTTTTTGCATGGTGATTGGTATATATTTTGTTTTTTGTTTTCTGCTAGGAGGATATCTTATCCTCTCACTTTCATTTGAAACATCTTTCTGTCTCTCTAATATTGTTGATTTTGGAGAAAAAATATTAATTTTATTTCTCATACTTTAAATTATTATACTTAAAATATTTGTAAAATTTTTAATCTATTGATTAGAAAATTTTTATTTTACTAAAATTCTAATTACATGAGATTACCTAATTAAATAATAAACTAACAAAATAATAAAATATTCTATTCAACATCCCCCTAAAGTTAGTGCAGAGATATCACATATACCTAACTTGCATATTAAGTTGCAAACTTAAGGTGTATGCGTGCGGAAGAGTCGAAAAAGGACTAGAAAAGGTTAGCCGGAGCGGCTTGCATGTAAAAAAAGCGGATCTGCGCCGGATCGCGAAACAAGAGGTGGACGCGTGCAGAAAAGCCAAAAAAAGGACCAGAAAAGACTGGTCAAAGCGACTCGTGCGAAGAAGGCCTGGTCGTGGAATAGGAGGCGGCCGCTCACGGAGTCGAAAAAAGCACCAGAAAAGGCTAGTCGGAGCGGCTCGCGTGCAGAGAAAGCCGATATGTCTGACAAGGCAGCTCAGCTCGGCTTAAATTAGCACAAAACTGGCTAAAAAAGGGCTCGAAATCGGCTAAAAAAGATATCAAAAATGGCTCAAAATAGCCCGAAGTCAGCTCAACTCAAACGGTTCGACTCGACTCCTTCTCCGGACAGATCTGTTCGGAAAGCTCTTCTTCACCAAGATCTAATCGCTGCACACCAATCTCCTTCTTCCGCCGCCTGCAGATCCACGAGCAGGAAGCTTTCTGGCCATGCCGCACTTTGCGCAGGTCCAGTCTGTCAGCGTCGCCGGTCTTCTTCTTCCGCCTTGCGATCCGTCTTCCTTGTGCGAGTCACGCACGTCTGCACTTCCTCCTCCGCCACTCACCTTTCCAGATCTGGTCTTGATTTGCCTGAAAACGGGATAGATCTGCCTACCACATCTTCATCTTCTTGTTCTAGCCGGGCCAACTCAGATCGCTGGCAGCCACTGCTTGAAACGACACAGAGATCTGGTTGCGCCGGAGATAGATATTTCGCTGCGCAATTTTCCTCCACCACTGCCGCTGCCTTGGCTACTCCAAGTCGCAGTCAGCACACATAGGCCTGATATGGTTTCCTAGGGTGGTGATAAGAATAAATCTGGATATGTGGGCATCAATCTACCCTATTGTGCTATTTTAGAGTTTGAAGGAAAGTCTAAAATTAGAATCTTAAAATAATTTTATTTGCTCTAATACCGTATTGATTTTGGAGAAAAAATATTAATTTTATTTCTCACACTTTAAATTGTTACATTTAATGTATTTATAAGATTTCTAACCTACTGATTAGAAAATTCATATTCTACTACAATTTTAATTACATGAGATTACCTAATTAAATAATAAACTACTTAAATAATAAAATATTCTATTCAACAAATATTTTTATTCTTTATTTAACCAAAAGTCTAACAAATGGTAACACTATTTTTCATCCAAGAAGGAAAGGAAAAAAAATAAAAAATTTATAATGCCACCATGTACCTGTCACACCCCCGTCAAAATGCAGCAGCCCGATGGACTTCGGTAATCCTTCTTGTAGCCCCGTAATCATTGGTTCAAGCATCGCTATCTGAGACAAACCCCACCAATGAAACATTAAAATGAGCTACAATAATACTTTTCATTATCATGAAAAACTGGTGCATCAATTTTATCCCCTCTTCGCCTTGATAGGCTAACAATTTAAACAATTATGCTAGCAAATTTCACAATCTCTACCAAGCAATTAACTGTATTTGATGTGTAAAATAACAGACTAAATTATAAAGAGCATGGCACACCTTATTAGATATGTGATCCAATAATGCTCGGATAAGCCAAGGCAATGATCTGGATCCAAGAAGTCTAACAATGGAAAACATATGGGGTATCCCAAAGAATCCACTATGCAAACGTGCAAAACTTTGATGTGCAGAATTCAAATCCTATCATAAAACAAGCAACATAAAGTTTAAAAAAAGGCTATAAAATATCAAAGTGAAAAAAAGAAAACTATTTCAAATATCAGATTAGTTATCTAAATTTGGCATGAGTTACAAGAACATAAAATTGCTTTGGTAATGATCAAATACGTGATATTAGCAGTAAAACTAAATGATGAACAATTCAACAACAGCCTTACTTGAGTACCACAATAGAAATTAGGCTTGGCATAAGGCATTGATGGCTTCTGAACAGGAGCAAGAGGAACTTTTGACGATCGGATAAATCGTTGAGTGGTATTGCAAAGAATGAAATTTGGCAAGAAATCATTTTGCATCTCTGACCATATCTAAAGACAAACAAATATATTAAGAGAAAGCAAAGAACAAATAAATGACAGCAAAACAATCCAAAATCATTTTCAGTAAATGTGTTTTGGAACCACAAGAGTTTGAAATCTAACATTATTTATCATGGTTCGCACATTACCTGATTGAATTCAGAATAATTATTTAATAAAAAGTTCGAGATCTTTAATTTAGAAATATAATTTTAGTTTCATTTTTTCAAATCTCATTGAATGAACTGGATTGCTGAAACAAATATAGCAGCCTCTCACATTATATATAGGTAAATGGAGAAACCTAATTATCCATTTTTGGTGGCAGATATTTGCAAGGATAAACATTAGACCAGCATGTGAGGGAAATTGACAATAGAAATATCCAACAGAAATAAGAGAGAGAGAAAAAAATTTCAAACCTGAGAAGCAAGTCGACTAGAAAATGACACAAGAGAGAGATTCTCTAGCATCTCATTCAACATGAGATTGAATGAATCTATGGAAATATCCTTTGAAAGCAATTCATGGGCATGCTTTAAGATATCTAACAGTTTCTCTAACTCCTGCAATCCAAACATTGTGCACGAGATCAATGTGCATTTTTCTATTAAAAACAAAAAAAAAAAAAAGAAAACCATAAAAGAATGAACAAAAATCCAGAGAAAAGAATAACTCTTACCACTATGGCACAAAGATCCTGGGACTCAAACCGGTCGAACAGAAACTCAAGATTTTCTCTGAAAACTTTGTTCATCCTTTGAGCAATTAAACTTCTTAAATCGATGGTCCTCCCCAGTAACTAAATATCATAAGAATCTAAATAAGGTGAGAGACAGAACCTGAATAGTAATGTTCATAAAATAATTTCTTTTGAATCAAAGCCAAGCAATATAGGATTAGTTGGACAGAATCTAACGTATATATGCTTAGGGCAATATTACATTTGAAAACATCCACATGCTATACTGGATACTGGAGTCGTCAAATATTGTTGTGTTACATTCCTTAGCCAGTAAACAGAAAACTGTTACGAGAAGTTACAGATACACCGAGTAGCTCTTCAGGCAAGCATGGAAAAGGAAGAAGGAATATTAAACATTGAGAAACATGTGGAGAATAAGTAGAACATATAAGATGAGTGTGCGTGGACTTTTATGCTAATGCTGTGAAATGCACAGAGCTTCTACTAGTAATTTACTAGATCTTCATAAGATTCTAACTTAAAACATTATTTTTAAAAGTCATATGTTCAGGATTCGGGTCTGAGGGAGTTAAATGGAGAGAGGTAGGGAACTAAATGCTCCATTTGGTACATTAAACTTTATTTAGTTCTGATTTATAAAGATTGGAAATCAGTTAGTTTTTCTTTTCTATTTTTTAAATTTCTTGAGATGTTTTCTTGAGATAATTTCCTAATTTTAAAACTTAAAGAACCTCTTCTTATGCTAGTTAACTTTATTTTGTTCTCAAGTTTTAGCTATTTTTCTTTTTTCATTTCTGAAAATTAATTTTTGTTTTCAATAATTAAAAATTCCCTATTGTTTCTAACCTTCTTAATAAATGAAAACAGAAAGGACAGACTTTTTTTCATCAAACAAAAAATATTATTTGAAAGAGCAAACTAATAGAAGCAAGATGAAGTGGATATGGTATCCTCTAACATAAACAACATAAGAAAAAGAAAAAAGAAATAATGTCAATACAAAATGGCAACCTAATCCCTCCAGAAGCAGAAAGGCAAACCCCTGTGAAGAATCATGAGCCTTGACCAAAGAGAAGCAAAGACCACTACCCTAACCAAAGCATGTGCGGCAGCTACAACTGAATGTTCATAATTAACGGGATAAATATACTCTTATATTTAATCTGTTATTAAATTTGCCTTATAGTTTGTGTATTTTCATACCATTAGTGCTTTACAACCTAATCTCTCGTAAGGGTATAAATAGCGGATTCACGTGATTAGTAAATGACCTTGCATGTTTTTCTCATACCTCCTATGATATCAGAGTCCTGTCTTCCAATTGCTTCCTCACTAGACCTCAGTATCAAATTGTTTGGGATGTAATCAATACTGTCCAAGAATGTCTTTCATTGTTCAGGCAGGCGCCTTCGACTAAAGTTGACTCAATTAGTAGGTCCTTTGCTGCTCTTCAGCTACAGAAGCCCTATGAAATATTGTGGTTGCCTGATATTAGTGTGGCCCTTCCTATGGCAGCCACCCCAAGTATTCTCAACTTTTCTCCTCCCACGAATAACACTCAGATCATGTTTGGAGGTGGATCCTTCCATAGTATGTCTCATGTTGGTTCTTCTGTTCTCAATTGTTTTAGAAAAAATACTCACTTGAACAATTTCTTTGTTAAGCCTTCTTACTGCTAATCTTATCCTAGTTACCCATTTCACTAAAGATAACTCATGTTCAATAGAATTTGATCCTTCGGTTTCGTATCAAGGA